TGGGGATTTTTCCTCAAAGGAGATAATTCACACCAAGATCTGTGATAATTCTTTCAGGATTCTAAGTCTCTATTTACACCCTATATCATATTCTTTATTTATAAACAAGAGCTACACACCAGACATACAGATGTAAGACTTGGTATAATGTTGTTGTAGAAGATGGAGGAAGAACACCCCAAAAGATTACGTGCAACTTACTTACTACTATTCTTTGAAATGTCTTTTATATACATTTGCATACAGATATACTGTTGGCCTGAGTTTTATCCCAGCAGGATCTACAGTGGCATATTGCAACAACATGCCCTAACATGCAGTCCAGGCAGTAATAAAAGAGAAGGGGGATCTTCTGATCACAAGAATTGAACATAAGCTTTGAACTTGTCAGAGAAGACCAGGAAAGAGAGTTGTGAATATACATAATGTAGATATAAATATCTCAAAAAGTTACAGGTTAAATAACATATCTTTGGGGTGATTGTCCATATATACATTCATAGCATGGGTGATTCCAAACAGTAGCCCATACAGTTATCTTAAAAAGGGTCTCAGAATCCAGAATAAGAAAGACTGAAGGACAAAGCATTGCTTCTAGAAGCTCTGGCAAGAGCATAATGCCTCACATGGGTGTGAAAGCAGACCCAGTTGGTGACTGTGCACTTTTCAATTACAGGAATGCAATACAAAGCAGCCACAGATGTTGCCTGAGCTGCAATTCAGCAAGTCTTTCCTGGTATCAAAGGCTTCCACTGTAAATGATAATTGCACAATCACTTCATACAGTTCATAATCCACTGTGAAATCCTCTTTGAGAAGACTCATAGAACTCAGCCACAGATCCAGAGAGATGAAAGGCCTTGCCTTTTTCTCTGAGAGGCCCTATCTTGTCATTACAAATGAGTAAATCTATCTATCTATCCATCTATCTACTGACTGGTTAACACCTAGAGTGCTGCCTCATTGAGAAGGTGTAAGGAATGAAAAAAAAAAGGCACAAATTAACTTCTGGAGAGAGAAAAAAAAGTCACTCTCACAAGGAACTTCAGGTGGCTTCTGAAGCCTATGTTACTTAAATGAAATAAAATACACGGAAGACTATCATATGGGCTTCAGTTTCAGTTGTCTTGCTGGTTTAGACCACAGAAACTAAAAGGCTGTCTCCATGAAAAGTGACATAATTGTGGTTTATGTTTTGCTCTCATTACTACTGTTTCATTTGCTTCTGACAGCTAGTGAGTATTGAGCTGACATTTTCCATGGATTTATAGGTGACCACCTTTTCCCCCATGTGTATCACTTCATATTTACTCACAGTGATTTTCATTTACCACTTTTATTGACCAGCCACTGAGGTCCTCTAACATTGTGACTCCCACAGCTTCTTCAGGAGAAACTGAGTCCTAAAAATGGCAGATACAGCCACCTATCAGGGACTGGATGTCAGTTACCTTCCTAAAGAGGTCTAGAGACCTAGAAGGTCATATTGATGGAAAGGCACAATAACAAAAAGGTAATGAGATGTTATTTGTATTCCCAAAAGCATAGAAGTATCACAGATTATAATTCTTCCTCACAACAGAAGAACTGAGAGGAATTGAGTGAAGTTGGGACAAGAAGGTAGTTTTTCCACATCTGTTGAAAGCCATGGCACATCTGTTCTTCTTCATCCTCTTGTTCTGAGGATGCCATTATCTGCTAAACAGGAAAATGGGGATATCCTATCCCTGCCAATACCCAGGACCTCAAGGAATCTTCCTTTGATGTGAAAAGGTGAAGTGACAGCATTTGGATTGACAGCACTGAAAACTCACAAAATACAGATATTACCTGTAAGACAGACTGATAGGAATATGAAAGAAGGTATCTTGCTGTTTAAAAGCATCTTATTTTTTTTAACAGTGTCGGGAAAAACCTCAACCACTACAAATCCTAATCTGAAAGTGTAAAAACAGCCGTTCTAATTCTGTAAGATTGGAACGTGTCACCACCACCTCACAATAGAAAGCAGTTATAAAGTCCTTTGCTCTAACATAAGTGGAAACTTACAGCTCCAAAACCAGGAAAGGTTTCCCCTTCCGCTAAAGTAGACTTAAGGCAAAAGTTCCTAAAGAGCAGTAAAATAGAAGCACAAGTAAGAGCAACAGTCTGAATTGAACTGAATAAATCTTCTCAATGACATCTATAGTCAATCTATCTGTGATGGTATTTGGTATTCCAAACCACCTTGTAATATAGCCCTCCTGGTAATTTTGATATACAATTTCCAAATGTGTGAGAGAAAATTGAGCATGAAGTCTTCATGACTTTCAGCTGGGATATCTGATTTGCGTGCATTAAACTAGTTTCCCTAGAAGTCAATGTACAATTAATCACTGTCTGCTCCTGTGAAAGACAAATGAAATGAAAAGAAAATAATTAGGAAAGTGTTTGGAATAGGAAGCAGAGCTGTCACATGCTAGTGTCTTAGGAAGGCATTTTTAAGTGTCTCAAGAGAGACTTCCTTCATAGTATAAAGTAGAAACTGTGTGATTTCAAAATGACTTGAGCATCACAAATACATGAACATATTGATTAGTTTCGGAACAAGCTGGAACTCTCAAATGGAGGTCCTCTGGTATGTCTCCATGGAGCTGGTGAGTGCAAACTATACCTGCTACCTAAAAAACAATGCTAGCATCCAACCTGAGACACCAGTGTTTCACTGGATCCACTGAATCCAATTCAGATTGATAGCTTGCCTTCACCTAGCAGTGTTGTGAAGGCTCCAGAAACTGTCAGATGTCAGGAGTTTTCTGACCATGTAAATGTCACAGCACCCTGTATTCACATAATGCACACAACACAGTAATTTGGCAGTTGCAACTGATGCAGTATCTTGTAAAGTGATAAATCACCACAGTATCTAGCTAGTTTTTCCTTCAGGAGTCACCAGGTTGTTTGCACTTCTTGCCTTTAGCCATGATTATCAGAAATGAGACTGAGATGTGAGAAAGAGTTCAGTTTTTCTAGTTTGGACTTTCTGCCTATGGTGCAGACACTGAAGAGCTAAAATACAAAAAGAAACTAAAAGTAAATGAAAAAAACTAGATAAAAGAAAATCATTAGTTAGGAAAGCTCTCTAGGATGGTTGAGAAGAATGTCCAGTAAGCTATCTGACATCCTACTAGACCCTTTCAAGGGCATTTCTAAGATTCTGCTACCCTTCAAACAGAATACTAAGGACCATCTTCAGGCTCCTCTTAGAGCCACAGGTTTCTTGGACATAATAGATGAAGATTCATCTACCAAGAGGAAGATAGGGAGAAGAGATGAGAAGAACAGCATGATGAACAGAGCCTGGTAGCAAGGACGTGGCAGCTAACTGTGGGTATGAGAACAATGACAGGACAGGGCATGTTCCAAAGTAGTGTATGCTTCTCTTTAAACAGGGGGAAGGAAACTCTGGGCATCTCAGACATGGATGGTCCCAGCAGCAGACCTTCAGAAAATGTCTATAGAATGACTACACTGTAAAACTGCTACACTGAATAAAGCAATTTTGGCAAGGTGGTCCTTAAATTGGTGCATCCTCAACTCTGAAAAGAAGCTGCTATCATCTAGCAGGGTAACTGAGCACTAAGGGTCCAAACCTCAAGAAGGCGTCATGAAGGTCAAGCTGGAAAAGGCTGTTCCAGTATCTGGAGTGTGGAGATGGCTGGTGGCAAGGTTAAGGTTTACCTATTTTTCCGGACAGTTTAGGAAGGCAAAAGGCTGTTAGAAGATGGTCTGTCTGCTCTAACACCACTTGTCCCTGTGGTGACATAGAGATCAGCGTTCTTGGTGTTAAGCAGTGGACAGAAGAACAATGGCATGTTAGACCTCATCTTAGCTATTCAGCTTAGCTACCAGCTCTCCAGGATGCGCAGAACAGCACAGCAAACCAACGTGGTATGTTTTTACAGATTAGAAAAGACTCAAGTGATAAGGATTTACAGACCACTGTTGATGTGAATTAGTCATTATTCTGAATTGGCAACTGGAAATATTTTAGTTCACATTTTAAAAAGAAAACAACAAATTTCCATACCCTAGCAAGTTTCAAAATAACAATTCAAGTACAAGCCCAGTTTTGGGGTACAGGGAGAGAGCTGGAAATTTTTAGTTCAGGCTAATTGAACTCCCCAGTAGTGGCCCAGGTTTGCTAGAAGAAAAGGAAAAGACAGTTGTCATCCCAGCTCACAAGCTATGTATGTTTTAAAAATGACAAACAGATTGCATATGCATGTGCTCGATTATAGACTGTGCATTATTATGAGAGAAAAGATATTATTTTAAAACTATCTGTCTCTGTGTTTTCCAACTCCTGCTTTAGGAAGAGCACTGGCTGCTGCCTATGTTTTTTCAGAATATCAATTTAAACGTAAAACCACATGTTGCAGTAAGCTTTTTCTTACATTGACCATTTGCTGTTGTCTAACGCTTAAAGAACATTTGGTATAATCACAGCTATTAAATGGGCAAGAAATGATAATGTAATTTTATTTTACTCAGTTACACAGAAAGGAAAAGCAACCGATCTAACAACTGTGCTATTATTTCTATCACTTCTAAAGATTAAAAAAAAAAAAAAAACCACCACAGTGTAAAAAGCTAACGTGCATTAAAAAAGTGGACAAAACTGCAAGAGGTAATTCCAGCTCTGATAGCAGTTGCCTGCAGCAACTTTCTCATTTCTTCTGTTTCATATCAAAAAGAAATCAACGAAGCGGAGCATGAGCTAAGTTTGGGGTTTGTTTGCTTAAGACTGGCACAGAATGAGATTTATCAGTAACGTTAACAGATTAAAAAAACAAGCAAGTACACGTTCTAATGCTCATGGCTCTCGTGGTAACTGAATTAGATGACCATCGTTTTCTCTGATTGCATTTACAAGACTACCAATAAATAAAGAACCCAATTTACTTTCAGCTAAATGTCATTACAATTGCTTTCATTTTTTTAACATTTAAACTAGCAACTTACGCTGGTGAATAGTTGCAAATAAAATTTGCCGCATTTTGTATTCCTGCAACTTCCTTACAAAGAGTAACAGCACAGCCAATTTTATATGAATAGTGCCAAACAACCTAAAAAAAAAATGGGTTTAAAATAAATTAAGAACTACACTCAACAGTTACCTAGTCTAATATCTAGAAAGTTTCCGTTATTTTCAGGGATCCTATGTATTATTTTCATTTTGCAACGTCTTATCTGTTTATTTGTTTAAAAAAATTGCTGGTGAGCTTTTTAAGATGAACTTCTAAATATTCACCTCTCAAGATGAAGTGACCTGTGCTGCAAGTTTCCAGAATCTTCTACAGAACAACTTCATAAGTCACTGACTTTATTATCCAGGGGTAAATTCCAAGAAACAAAAGGGAAATTAGTGGCAACTACCCAACAGCTCCTTTCGTTAATTTCAACATTCATAACTCAGAAGGAAGGAGGGCTTCTCCTGTGTGCTAGAAGTGGTCTGGCTGATTACTACTGTAAACTTAAGTCTGAAAGCACTGCACATTTTCAGACTAACCAGTGTTATCTGCCATATTTAAGAGAAGATAGTTTACTATCACAGTTTGAGCATCCTCTGCTTTTTCTTGGAGATTCTTCCTATACTTTCTGCATCTGACTAATCAAACTGTGCTGAATTCAGGTAAAAATGTTTAACTATATACCTAGAACATCTGGACGATCATACATTCCACATCTGGAAAATTTAAAGACAGTGGATTACTCTCAGTATCTCCCCAGTACAAAGAGTACAGGCCTCAGACTGACAAACTTATTTGAACATCCCCACAAATTCCATCTCTTCAACTATAACTGCAAGAAGTGGTTATGTTCAGAAGACATAACCTTTCTTAGAAAAGGATCTTAATGTTTAATGTGGTGTTGCCCAAATCCTCGAATAAGGACTAAGCATTTCAGGGGGCTTTATGGAACAGTTCCAGGCGTTTTTTGGAAATTTCCACCATTTTGAGATTTCTGTGCCATGGTTCTCTAAGCAGGTCTACGCAGCCTATCCACTGACCATTTTTAAATTTTGCCCCTTTTCAATTTTGTGTCTGAGACTTCAAGACCATGATGGCTCCTGGATCATGCAGGGCTTTGCCTATCAACTTTGAAGAAATACATATTTTTACATGCTCATTGGTGTTCAGCCCATGTACTCTGCTTGTTTTTTCCAGTGATTAGTTTCTTCTGTAATCCTGCCTGAAATCCTGCCTGAAATCCATGAACATTTTGATACGACCTAACTATGTGTAACAAGAAAGAAGCAAGCAATCATCTTAATCAGGGGAAAGAAAGCTTAGAAGCAAACATCACTCCAAATGTGAAAAAACCTCCAGAATTCTATGTAGACAAGGTTGAACAGCAATTTTTAAGATGTTAGGAACTACCTTGTTATGTAACTTTTTATAATTCATTATGCCAGAGAAAAAATGAAAAATACTTTCCTGAGATATTGTCTAGTTATAATCTTCTAAAGATTTATTGCCTTATAAACAGCAAAACTTAAATCCTCCAGTCTTGCTTTTGAGTTTGTTACAGGCAGAACCAGGGGCAGGAAACAAGGATTAACACTTGAGGAGAAACAAGTGAGAGAAGACATAAAAAGAGGTGCAAAAAGTCCCACAAAGAAAATGCTCTGTAAATTATTCTGGTAACTTGAAGTATTTTCATTTCACAATCCAAAGTCCACTCAAAAAGAACCTCACAGCTACCACTGTGTCTGGTAACAGTTTCACTGTAAGTATACTTCACAGTATTTTCATCTGTAATTTTCAGAGAGCAGTCTAAGCATCTTTGAAAACTGACGTAAGAAATTAAAGAGTCACTTTTACTAGATAAGATCTGACTTGACATTAAAATTATCTTCTGTTTTAGATCAGTGAAATATTATGTGGTTGGTCGCAAATGAAACTAATTCTACTGCAAAGCTTACTTTTTAAACATGGGAAAGAATAAATCCATTTAAAATAACAAGCATTCAAAGAAATGCTTTACTTTCTCTGCAGAATTAAGTTTGCCAGAATTACCACTGAGAAATCAGAAATATATCATAAATTGCCTTTTTTGTTGTATATGCTCTTTTTTTCCCCTTCCTTTTTTACAAGATTTGTAAAGAATACAAGTCACTTTGGCTGGATTTTCTTCTTCTGTTAAAATTTCTACTAAGGAGTTCCCACAGACATTCTGCAATTACTGTGATTATTCTGAACTGTGTGGCTTTGCAGCTAGAGAACTTGAAATGATTATTTTATAAAGTTCATGTAGTACTGATAAAATGAAACGAGGAGTGAGGCTTTCAGTGAGGTCAATATTGTGGACAAGAAGAATGGATTATTATTATACAAGATTATACAAGACAAAGAGGTGAACCAGTGCAGGGGTAACTGGCAGTACAGGCCATTGTTTGAGATTACAAAAGACAGTAAGCTGCCAGTCACTATAAACCACATATACAAATCTGTATTATTTACAGCCCCTACTGATTCATCTGGTAGGCACTATACAGGACATCTTACCAAAGATAACTCTTACCTGACTGTAATGACCGCAAACCTTACTACAGTTCTGCACTGCAAAAGTACAGAATCTGACCTCATCATACCACGATTTAATGGCATCAGCAACACAGAATGCTTGAGGACTTCCAACCCAAATATTCTCTCCAATAGATGTGAAATTAGGATGGCACTGATGTTTCTTACTTAAGTATACGTTATGTTCAAAAATGCATTTATTTGCCCATGCCCTTGCAGTCCTTGCCAAAGCTGCATCCGAAGTCTGCAAAACATGAAAGGTAAAATAGTTGTGCAATGTTAAGTTACAACCAAATCTTAAACAACCAGATAAAACCAGTCAGGCCGTAAAGTATAGATAAATATCATATGCTGGAGTTTCATAAAGAAATACTTTCCCTTATTTAGGCAAGTACTCGTGTTTTATTTTCATTGACTTTTCCTGTTGCAGCACAGAATTATGAACTAATTTCATTAGACAATTTTTTCCCCTTCCTTGTTGAAAATCAACTTTGTAAGAGCACTTGCTAGCAACTGAAAAGATGTTTGAAATGCACTTTTACCTTCAGATAAGAAATTACTGTCACGTTAATTAATCATGAAACTTTTTTTTGTATTTTTTTTTGTTGAACAGGTCATTGAGGATTTCTATTTGGTACATAAAAATTAATTCACAGTAAAAATGCACAGCCATGGTAGATTCAGATATATAAATATTTTAAGTATTTTTAAGAGAGCCTCCGGAAACAAATACTTACTCCTCGTACAGTAAAGCTTTAAAGACACACTGGAGCATTTTACAAAGACAGCTTCATGAGGTAAGCATGCCAATGTTTGGCCAGTAACTCATTCTGCTTCCTCTTACTTCTTTGCAGTCTGTCACCATTAACACAACTTCTGATTGCTGAACATGAACTATCTTTGGTATTTGTCTTCCAGTTGTGATTGTTTTTCAGGAAGTTTCTTCTATCATTAAACTACCTAGTTTTATGTTTTGTGTAAAAGATCCTGTGTTTTATTGCCTAGGTTTAGTGGTGTTTGTACATTCCAGTTCACTCCTAGTCTCTATGTGGATCTTACAATAACTCTACTGGCTGCTGTCACAAATGGGTGATTTATATCGCTTAAAGAATCATCGTCAAAGGTATTAACAAAAGTGGTTTTAATACGATGTTGTACAAGTCGATGACAAGGTTCACACTATTACTGTACAGCACAATCATTTGAACAACGATTCAAAAACTACCAAGGCACAAATCAAAGTTACCAAGACACAAATTGAAGTTACCAAGACAAGATCAAAGTTGCCAAGTCACAAATCAAAGTTACCATACTAAAAGGTTATGCACTGTATCAGTCACCGTCCTGGTTTCAGCTGGGATAGAGTTAATTTTCTTCTTAGTAGCTGGTATAGTGCTGTGTTTTGGATTTAGTATGAGAATAATGTTGATAACACACTGATGGTTTAGTTGTTGCTAAGCAGTGCTTACACTAGTCAAGGACTTTTCAGCTTCCCATGCTCTGCCAGGTGCACAAGAAGCTGGGAGGGAGCACAGCAGATCCAGACTGGCCAAAGGGATATTCCATACCGTATGACGTCACGCTCAAACTAGGGGGTGTTGGCTGAGGGGCAGTGATTGCTGCTCGGGGACTGGCTGGGCATCGGTCAGCAGGTGGTGAGCAGTTGCATTGTGCATCACTTGTTTTGTGTATTCTTTTATCATTATTATTTCCTCTTCCTCTGCTGTCCTATTAAACTGTCTTTATCTCAACCCATGGGTTTCACTTTTTTCCCCCGATTTTCTCCCCCATCCCATCGGGGGCAGGGGGGAAGGTGAGCGAATGGCTGTATGGTGCTTAGTTGCCAACTGGGGTTAAACCGCAACAGTTTATTACCAGAGATCCGCTGTTGCTAAAAGGCCTCTCTGCCTTGAGGAACAACCTTGAGACATGTCCCATCTCAAGGGGAGATCACCGCCACGCAGCCAGCTGCTTAGCAGGGAGAGCTGAAAGAAGGCTCACTTAGGCTGTCATATTTATGGAATAAAGTGGTTTGCTTGTAGTCAAATTACATGCGATGGGAAAGGTATGCATGAGCCTCCTTGTACCCACAACTTTCTTTGTTCCTTGATAAATGAGTCTTGGAAAAGCCACCCACTATTCTTGTGTTAATCGCATGATCAGTGTTCCAAGCTCATATGCATCAATGCTCACTGTGTCACTCTGCTCCTTTTTGAGTTTTCAGAGAACAGACTGAAACTAAAGGAGTTCTTGGCCCGTTCACGGCTTAGACCTCCTTTGGAGCCTGTATCAAACTACCACTAGTTTGGTTACGGGGTCAAGTGCATCCGTCACAGCTGCCGATATTATTTTCTCCCTAGAGCCTTTAGTTTTTCCTAACCATATTTCTACATGCATACCTTTATTCATAATTCTTCCTGGTTTTCCTATTCCTGAGCACTGAAAAGAAAGATTCTTCCTTGCCACCAGAAATCATCTTCAGCCCCAGCATTGCAGTTCATACCCTTGCTTCTGATGGAGAGCCTAACTCTTCTGGATCAGTCCTGCTGCTGGACCATTGCTTCTTCCAAAGAGAAATTCCTTGGGATGAAATGTGAACATCTTCAGCTGCCCTGTGTCATTGCATCCTCATACTGCATGCCTGTTGTTTCTAGACTCACCTGCTTACAACTGACTCAACTCACTACAACATTTCCTATCAAAAAAATGTGATGATATTTGAATACAAAGCAGCGATGCCACCCCGGTCGCCTTGCCCAGGGATCACCAAGAAACCCCTGGCCTGCTGTCCCATCCCCGAGCGGGGCTCTGGAGCCACCTGTGCCCCCACAGGCCTGTCCCTACCACGTACCGCATGTTGCTGGCGGCCGGCTGGACTGCGGCGCGGAGGTCGTTGTGCAGACGCATGCAGTCCTCCATGAAGGCCTTATCTGTGATGCTCGGTAAGGCGGGCAGCCGCCCGGCTGCAACCCTCACCACCGGCCACAAGGCCAGCACCGCCGCCCACGCCCTCATAGCCCCAACCGCCGGGGCCTCGCGTGAGGGGCCCCCGCCGTCTTCCAGAACCTTCTCCGCCGGGGAACGGCCCGCCGAGCCCCGCGGCGGCCTGGAGCGAGGGGCCCGCCGGGGGGCGCTGTGTCGCCGGCAGGGGAGCGGGCGCCTCTCCTTCGCGCTGGGCGGCGGCTCGTTGGCAGGAGGGCGGCGGCGGCCATGGTGATGTCGGCGGCGCAGCAGGTGGTGGTCTCGGTGGTGCTGGTGCTCTGCGTCTTCGTCGTCATGCCCAGGATATTCGGGGGAGGAGGGGACCGGGCCGGCCGGTCTCCGCGGGGCGGCAAGGCCGGCCCCGGTCATTACGATCCCCGTCAGCAGCGCAGAGGTAGGAGCCGTGGCGGTGCCCGAGGCCGCGCTGCGGTGGGGGCTCCGTGCGGGAGCTGCTCGGAGCCGGCCCCTCTCTCGGGCGGGCTTGAGGGCAGCCCCCGGGAACGGAGAGGCCTGTGCTTCGGCCCGCCGCCGTCTGGCGGGAGGTGCTGGGTGTTTTGCACGGCCTGGGTTGGGGAAGGCCTTGTCAGGGGCTCCGAGCTGGCGTGTGTGCCCTCACCTCCTCCCCTTAACCTCCCCTCCCGCCTTTTGTGTTCTGCTTTTCTAGTTCATCACTGGTTTGATTTTCGTCTGTGTTATCTTAAGAAAATTACTTTTAGATGCAGGTAGCACCCTGTTGTTGGAAGCGTATCTTATCGGGGCAGTTTAACGAGCAGCGCCTGCAGGGGCACAGTTATGCTAACAGATGAGCAGCTGTGAGGTGTCAGAGAGGAAAAAACCTCACTGCGCATGTTAGAATTGCCACAAGGAAGCCAAGTGTTACTGTTAGTAAACATCAGCACAGAATCGTATGAGATTTGTCAGGTAGTGTGTTGGAAAGCGTCCAAGATACTTGTTTAGAAAAGATACCGCTGAATGGGCTAGAGAGCTTACTGCTTGTTAATGCTTGAGTGGTATAAATGTATGTTAAGCTATGTCAGTGTATGTCAGCTGAGGATTTAGCTCAAGGTCCAAAGGTCCACTTTCGTTTTGGAAAATAACAAAAAGCCTGCTTTCTTGAGGTAGCTCTGTGATTCACTGATGATGCTTTCCAAGGCATTGCAAACCAAGAGGCAGATAGTTGCTGTAATCCTCCAAATTATGTGTCTCTACTTTTCCCTGGGAGGCAGAAAAAGTGAAGCGTGAGCTGCTGCTGTGTTCTTCCTAGCTGATGTCGAACTTACTGTGCTTCATGAGTTCTAGCGTGGCCTGTTTTGCTTGATTACTTTTAATTTACATGGTAGCCGTCATTTCCTATAGATCAAATTCTTTTAAAACCAAACCTTAAAAAAAGGCAACACTTCACATGCCTCTGATTCTGCTGATGTATGGGCCCAGCACTGCATAAAATAAATTTCAGGCAGATCTGCTGTTCTCACGTGCCTGGGTTCTTTTCTCCTGTTTCGCTGGTAAGTCACTCTGCTGTTTCTGCAGTGGGATAAACTTGGTGTGGGATGCTGGACTCTGTTAGGATTGAACATCCCTCCTTTCTGCCAGGAAGGTGTTGTTTCCCTTGACCACATTCTTATTTGTATGACCTGTGGAAATCTTTTAATCTGTGCTATGAGATATTTTAGTAAATCTCCTCATTTACATTAAAAACAAACAGAACTGAAAGTAAGGGAAAAAGAGTTAGCGCAAACTTAAAACTAGTGCCCAGCACAACTTGACTGCAGAGCTGATAATAAACGTCACTACAGTCAGGGTCATCCCTGAAAGTCTGGAAAACTTTTCTGGCTAACTCATTTTAGACAGTTCTAAAATGCTGTTCGAGATCTCTTATCACAAAGTACCAGCTTAGGTTAGCAGAATTAGATTCCTTTTTCTCTTGTATTTGGAAGAAGCTGTAGCGAAACAGTTGTTTCACTGGGAGGTGTAACAGGTTAATTTTTTTTCTCTACCTGATTGTGGCCGTCTCTTGCACACTCAAGTTATGTTACTGTAAATTCTTGAAATGCCACTGTTTCAGTATTAATTGACAAGGAGTGATTTGCATAACGGTCTTTTGTTTAGGAGTTTTTATAGAATGTGAATCTTGTTTTACCCATACTCAGTTCTGACATATTAAATTATGACAAACTAAATGTTCAAAGGGATTTGAAAGTATAAGTCTAGGCAGTCAGTTGAGACATGAGTGTAAAACTTTACACACCCTCAATCACCTGCTCTCTGCCTCTGCTTGCATTCTTTAGCTGAGAGCACTGTTTCTCATGTGCATGTCCCATGAACCCCAGATTTAACTACCAAATAACCTAAGTTGAGCAATGACACTGGCTGTTTTTTCATTTGCTGTCTGTTCTGGCAGGCAAATTACATGCAAAAATATTTCAGACTTCCAAGGTTGCATCTCTTTGCTACTGTGTTATCTTTTTCTGCTAAATATTTGATTTGCAGAGGTACAGCACTTCTAAGCCTGTGGGAATATCCACATAACACTGAATTTACTGTCAAAATAACGAAAGCAGCAACATGTGTATTTCAGCAAAACTTTTTTTTTCTGGGACTAGACAATTCAGTTTCTACTTAACTCCTTCCTTTGTTACAGAGGAAAAATATTAGTTTGCAGCTCTTCTCGGCATTATCAATAGTTTCTCTGAGTATGCTTTAATTTCAAGATTTAAGTTGTTTCTTGTTCCATCTACCTTTCTGTGGTTTGCTGTGGGTTTGCCAGTGTTGCTGTGAAGGAAGAAACTTAAAACTTGTATCTTAAAGAATCATAGAAACTTAGTTTGAGAGTCTTTTCTACCTAGATTTAACTTGGCATTCTATTAATGAAAGAGTGATTTTTAATTTTTTTTTTTTTGTAACATTATTTGGATGCAGGGCTGACCACACCATCTTAGAATAGTGATGAACAAAGATGATCACACAAGAAGATAACAATTTAATTCCAGTTGTGAAACTAATTGGACTCTTAATTTCCTTTCTAACTTTGTCTTCTTTCTCTCAATTTAATTTTTTAAGGTAGTCCTCAGACAGTTCATCAAGTTCGCTTTAATCCAGGAAATTCTGACAGTAATACTTATCAGAGTGTTCAGCAGATGAGAAATGCAATGGAAAAAGAGATAAAGAGTGAGAGAACAAGAGGAAATGGTAGAGAGTTAGCATTCACCCTCATGCCATTGTATGCTCTTGGAGTGGGAGTGTTTGCAGCCTACAAATTTCTTAAGGTAAGCCATAAGAAAAGCATTAAATTATTGAAATTAGAAGGAAATGTAACAGGTTTTTTTTTTTCCCCAGTTCTGAGCCCATGTATATGGTTGTCCAAAAGCCATATCTTCCTCAGTTTGACTTTGAATGTGAGCTCCAAAGTTAAAATTATAGCATATCTGATTCTTTCTTACGAAGGTTTCTGACTTATCTTTTTTTAGACACTTAAAGAAGTGAGAATCTTACCCCTGCCTGTGACCTCAAATAAGAATCTGAGAACCTAAACAGTGCTGTTACCTGAGGCTGTAACTTAAGCTTCATCAGTATTTCACTTCCTTTTCGTTCTTCAGAATGAGATTGAGTATGGGAAGGAGATGGACAAACTCCTGCAGAGTAATAGTCTTAGATTAGCAATTAGATAGAACAGCGAGTAGTCTAGACCTTTTATTTGGACTTCTCATTTGGTCATGCAGCTGCAACGTAGACTTTTATCCATGAAATGTGATACTTTTTCTACCGTTAGTAAATTAACAAAGGAGAACACGTGATCAGTTGGTTTTTTTTAATCAGTCTTGATATGTATTATTTATAGTAAGGGATATTACAGCACTTGCAATGCTGAGAGTGCACCCGGAACATTGTTGCTTGCCTTCAGGGTATAAAAAACTTAAACCTGAACAGGACAGGAGACAGCATCTTTATTTCCATAGTCAGTTTCATATCATCTCCTATGTGAGAAGAATACAACAGCTTAGCAAGATGAACATAGAGGCTGACCAGTTTGGTTTTAAAAATAAATGTCATTAGGTTGTAAATAAGATTTAAACATCATAAAACCAATAATTGGGGTGTTATAACTCTTTACGCTTGTGCTTGTGGGATTGAAATGTAAATAGTTTTGTAATAGCATCTTTATTACTTTAAGAAAGAAGTTTTACCTCCTACTTAATGGTAGGAGACTGTATCCAGTAACCTAGAAGGTTCCTTCTGTTCATTTTTGAAAACTGGAGCTGAAATAACAACTACTTTCTTTTACATTTCTTGTCAGTCATGTTGTCATTGCTTAAAATCAGAAGTGTTAGTTTAAGATAGGAAAAAGGCATGGCAGAAAAAAAGTTTCATTAATAGAGCACATTTTTGTGGTTGCTATTTATTTTCAGTAAATTTCTAAATGCATTTTTATATTTAACATACCAATAGTGATGAAGTCTTTTAACATGATTGTCTTTATTAAAGATGAAATCACATGAAGAAAGTCTCTCCAAAAAGGAGAAGAGTACAGAGGACAAGGCAAAGGAAACGGGTAAGGTACCCATTCAGAACGCATATGTTCACTAGAAATGCGTGTTTGCTGCTGGAACAAAGTTACATATTTTCATTGATGCAGTCTATCTAAATGAGAACAGTCTTTTAATTTACTTAAGTGCAGTTAGGAACTTAAAAAAACCACTTTGTTATTCTGTGTATTTGAAACACTTGTTAGAGGTTTGTTTGAAACGCCAGGTGGTAATATCCTTTAAAAGAGCTATAGTAATATAGTATGATTCTCCACCTTTTAATGTCTCATGTTTTTCTCACTTAAGGCCTGTTCGGTTTTCTTCAGTCGAATAGGGTATTCAGTTTAAATAGGGTATAATAATCTTTAGAATTAATAGCATATTTAAAAAGGATATAATGATCTGCTTTTGGTTTTTGTTAGAGCATCAGCTTTTAGAACTGGAGCAGCATCTAGCACAGACAGAGAAAATGTTAAATTCTCTATTGACTCAGCTGGACCCACTGTCAAACTGGTGAGTGTTTCTAAAATATCTCAGTATTGTTTTCTGTAAATTGAAATTCTCCAAAATGTCAACAAAGAGTTCCTAAAATGTTCCTTATGTATAAGTAGGGAACAGTGTTTCAGAACCTTCTTTAATTACTTATTGTTTCTGTAGCCTTTTGCAGGTAACACCTTTTCTACCATTTGCAGTCTTTTCACAGACGCCTCCCATGTCTTGTTCACCAAACATAAATGTAAAAGCTCAGACTTAGGATGAAGTTACTGGAGCTCAACAACTTAAACTTTAACATGAACCAAGGAGAGCAATACTGAAAAAATGTTTAAGCTCAATAGCATTTGAAAGCCCTTCTGGGAATTACGTTTCTGGTAGTAGAATGAGTTTCTTCCTTTTGATATCATTAGAAGACAAAACTAGTTATTAAGGTATAGCTGCTTATTTTTGTGTTTTGAAAGGAACCTGTTAAGTGATTGTGCGTGTTTTGGGGAAACATAACTTCTTTGTTGTAGTGTAAAGCAAAGGAATAAGTAATATAACCTCCTTGTAGGTTTAGAGATGTTCTTTCTTTAAGAAGCTAGAGCCTTATCCATCTACTGGAAATAAAAGTATCCATACAGTTCATTTTGTGTAGACTGACATCCTTCATGAAACCTAGTTTAAAACATGCAGAATTTCATGATTGTTCCTTTAGTGTACTTCTGACCTTAATATGTGCTGGAACTATTAAGCAGCAAATTCACTGACCCATGTGCCTAAAGAATTTCTAGCAGTGATGGGGAGGAGAGAGAGTAAACAAAATCTGAAATAAAGGAGAAAAGCTCCTAAACTGTAAAGTTCTGTATTGGGCATTGTTGTCCTCAAAATAAAATTACTTTGGATAATTGTTTCGTTCAGTAGTCACTACTCGACCTTGGCCATTGGGGCTCCAACGTTAGAATTCAGCAACTAGATTGTTCAGTAAGTGTAAGTGATGGGCTCCCCACTTCTCAAGGGGCAGTTCTCAAAGAAAAGCTTGACCTAAATGTGTTGCTAACTTAACTATGGTATTTATCCACTGAAGGAATTATTGCAGTCTTGTGCATTATTATCAAGCACTCACTTCCAAGGTTGTCTTTCAGCTGTTGACATCCATGTTTTTTTTCTAGTGTTAATGCTTTAGCTTGTGAGCAGAAAGATGAAATAATGGCCCAGCTCCAATCAATTAGACGACTGATGAAAGAAAGTGGATTGGATAAATCAGAAAACAAGATGAAAGGTACTTTGATTTCCAGTAGGATAGATAACTAAGTAGTTTATATTTTAAAAGAATAAACAGATCTTACTGTAATAATGTTCAGCTCCTGCATCTTAGGTAATGTGTGTGGAATTAATTTTATTCTTGGAGGAGTACCGTTCTTCCTGTTTGAGGTGTATCTAATTTCAAACTTTTGATATATAGTGACTTTTTTTTTTTTTTTAAAGAATAGGTGCTAAAAGACATTGAACTAGGATAGACCACACAGTCACATTCTGCTTTGTTGAAACGGGCTTCTTGAATGTGAGTTCCTGAGCAGTCTGTTAGTATTGGACTAACTTCAGTCAGGATTCCCAGATAGGGACTTCTGAGGCTGTGGGTAATGCTTGCATAATATACTAAACAGCAAATTGTGTATTAGTTTCCACTGGAGGCTTCCAAGAGGTGCATAGTAGTCCAAGAGAAATGTTAAGAATGGTTCACTACAAATTTGGGGAATTTTTGTGTTAGTTGAGTCTTAATAAAAGAGAGAAACCAAATAAAAAATAAATATTCTAAACTGACCCTGAAATTTGGAGCCTTTCTAGTAATTCAGACTTTCATTTTGACTTTTTTTTTTGTGAATTACAAGATGTCAGCCACATTTGTAATGAGAAGCTTGAAGATCTCATTCAGTCATTTGCTGAACATTCTCAAGAGAAAGAAATAGATGACGGAGAAGATGACAGTAATGAAGATTCACTTGAGGATGTTGATAATGATTACAAAATAGAAGAGCATGAATTATATGATGAATGTGAAGTACATCAGTTTGAGCCAGATGTGATAGAAGACCAAGAAATGATACACAAAGATGCCATTGAATCAGAAGAGATGGGATTGCGGAGACGTAATAGATATGAATGAAATCTGCATACGTAAAACTTTCAAAAGCTTATGAATTTTTTTCTTACAATGTTGTATGCACTTTAAACTGTTTTGAATGAATTTATGTGCACTGCTATATGCTTTAAAAGAGGGGTGAAATACTGCCTGCGCTCCTATCTGTGATGGTTCTGTAACTGACTTCAGTGGCAGCAGAATTTCCCTCAGGAAGTTTACATATTTTTTCTATTTATTTTTTCCTATAAAAATATTTCTGTACTCTGTATATAATGCACTGTAATTATATCTGATGCTTCACTAAAATATTGGTATATCTTGTAATTAAGACTATAAAGAATGTCTAACTAGTAAGCATGGTGCCACTTGAACTGTGATTTTCTTGAGTTCATTAAAGAGCATGCACTGATGAGTTTAGCTCTTTGCAGAAAACTTTTCTCTAGGGGCAGGAAATGAAAAACAGTACAGGTTAAGTCTTAGAGATGCATTCATGGACAAGTTTCTTTATTTGGAAAGAGAAATTTAGCCACAGACACTATTTTAAAATTATGTCTCAGTTTGCTGTCTCCTCAGGAATGATGTATAGGTTTGTACGTCAATTTAAACCTTAATGCATTACACTGGATCACTTAATTTCTTCCCCACCTGTCCCTGGTTAAACTCAGCAGCAGCCTAATAATTGATTGGTGCCCGTTAGTACTAGTATTCCTGCTTCATATATATTTTAACGCTGTAGAATCTGGCCTGGTGATACACTTTTTCTTACAGCAGTATTAACAGATGGATTGCTACATATCATTCAAGAACTGTGGGGCTTGGGAGTTTCTTTTTTCAATACGTTGTGCCAACTCAATAGTGGCTTTTTTAGGTCAGTGTTAAGAAAAGCATTTTTTTCCTTTCCTTTTTCCTCCCAATCATTTTTGTCCAGACCTTTATTTTCTACTAATTTTTTGTTCACTTTATGCTCATGCCTATGAAATGGACACCCTTTAATGACAGGAATTGCATAAGAAGTAGGTAGGTCTGACAGTACAATGCTGTTAAATTTTCTGGTTTATAATTGCACAGCTTTTAAGTAGGCCAGTTATAACGCCTGAACTCTTCTGCCATCTTTTTTCTTACAGGAAAATAACACTTGGATTTGTTTTTATGGAGGAAATGTACTGTAGTTAAAGGGACCAAAACTATTTTACTGTGTCGCTCACTGAAACAGAATGAATTGTTCATTCTTGTGTAGAAACATGGTACGTCTTTGGTTCTAAAAATGGATCACAGAGGCTTGGAAGTAGCAGCATCCAGAAATACATCCTTAGCGTCAGTGTATTATTAGTTTTGCAATAAGTGAGATTTTGCCTAACTTTGGCAAAACAGATTGACCAAAAAGCCAGAGTTTCTCAAGAGGTGACAGATTCTTTTCCCCAAGACAGAACAGATGAATCAGAACTGGTATTTGGCCAAAATTTGATTTTTAAAAACAGCTGGTGTAGGTCCGGTCATTTGTGGGAACTGTTTAAAAAAAATCGTAATTGCATAGAGGCTATCCTCTGAGATCAAGTGAACGGAAACTAACTTCAAAGCCTTTGATCGAGCCGCGCCGCTGCGGCGTTGGCTCTTTGTGGCTCCACGGCCGGTTCTGCTGTGAGAGCTGGTGCGGGCGCAGGTCCGCGTTGCTGCCGCTGTTGCTGGTGACCTGCTTACCCGCTGCGGCTTTCGGGCTCGCTGGGCTTTGGATGCTGCCGCTACTTGAAGCCTTTGTCGGTAAGGCTTTGAGCTGCTTTGGGCTAATTGCTGTATTTCTGACCCTGGGCTACAAACGTTCACCGTGAGCCCTTCTGCTGCTATTTTGAAGTCTGTGGTTTCAGCTGCACGGGTTAGCTGGGGACACAAACCCGTGCAGTCCCTGAGTGCCCGGGGCAGGCAAGGGCTGCGCCCCGCTTTCCTGCCGGCTGTCCGCCGGGGCCGGGTGGCGGGGAGCAGCCCCGTCCCCCCCGCTGACGGACCGGCGGGTGAGCGCCGGGGCAGGCGTTACCCCGAACAGGCTATTGCCTCAGGAGGAACGGGGAGCTCGTCTTCCCCGCTCGGTTGCGGTGGTGTCTTGCGAAACTCCCGTGCGAAGCCTGGCTCAGATGGGCCCCTCCGCGCTGCTGTGTCAGGCAAGGCCGCAAGGCGGGCGGGGGCAGGGGCAGGGGCAGGGG